AGGTAGACTTGCTCCCTAACCCTGCTTATTTCGGGGAAGAAAATGCTCATGCATTGTCCCTGAAACCCCAGCGGACCTCCATGGCATCTTCAGTAAGCCATCATCAAGATTAGCAAGGATCACAGACTGAGTTGCATAAGGTGCCTTTTGGGAGGGGACGTTGTGTTCTATGCCATTTTTCCAATTTCTGACTCTTCCTTTTTTTTAAGGGTCACTTTCTCCAGGTATGTTTACCTGTGCAACCCTCTGCAACAGTAGCCTTGTGCTAATTACTTTGACCTTTGTCTAAAGGGGATTCTTCTTGTCACTTCCTATGCAAATTGAGACCATCAATTATATCTAGAAGGTTTTGTAACATTTCATCTTCTTTCACTCCCCGCTTTTTAATCTACAAAAATTTGCATAGAGCAGGAGTGCCTAGGTTTTTTTTCCAGAGGCTGAAGCAAACAGATGTTGAGGGTTAAATCTCAGCAAGCCAGAGAGGTTACTCTTCTGGTTTTCCTTTTGGTCTTTTTGCCTTGTTTTTCCAAAATTATTTTAATTAGCTTCTTTTGTGGGCCCCCAGGAGTTGGCTCAGTGATCAGGTTTAAAAGTTCACATTGCTGTAGTACAGAGGTCAGACTAATTCAGAGGAACGATTGCAGTTAAGTTTGCCATTAATGCATTGCATTCTATGTTCCATCTTTCTGACAGCCACCATTGCTGGGTACTTTAAAAGGAGATAGTAAAACACATTTTCCCTTACGTTTCTTTTTCAACCGGTAAGATAAAAACTGGATAATACTGCCCCCCCCCCCCCGCCACCCCGGTGATGAGCTTCCCTCTTGCTGTAGAGAGCCACAAACAAAATAATAGAAGAGAGACAAAAAGCATTTTCTAGGTTTGGAGGTCAGCATGAGTTCAGCCTGCTTTAAAAATTAGCCATGTAATATGCAGTTTTGCCCATAAGGCCAACTCTGTACCTAAACATGTTTAAATGTTACCCTACTGTAAGTGAGCTTTGGATTGCATCCTAACATTATGCTATAGCATTCTCCAACTTTGTACCTTCCAGATGTTTGGAACTACAACTCCTAGCATTCCTTACCATACAAATCAAGCTGGCTAGGGCTGATGGGAGCTCAGATCTAAACATCCAGAGAGCACTGCGTAGGGGATATATTGGGTCCATCCATGCTACATACTATACTACAAATCGTAAAGGGATTTGCCAATAAATAATACAAATACTGTTCTGCTGAAAGCTGCCCTTTCACAGCTTCTGTGTTTCTGTGCAAAAGAGGTTGCCATTTTTCAGCATCTTTTTCAGGGAGGTTGAGAATTTCAGAGGCATAACTCAGTGTGCTTGTATCACCCCAGTGTAGGGGCTGAGGGTGGTAGTGGGGATGAAAATGCTCTGCATTTTGCCATTTTTATCCTGTCCTCTTCTTGCAGCCTCTCTGGCTTTTTGAACCTTCTGAAAAGCTCCCTAGAGTACTTAGCAGGACTTCTTGCATTCGGTGCACTCCAGTGCTTTTGCCTACTGAGTGCCTGAAAGCTCAGTGAGCTATCTATTCTTTTTGTTGGGTTGTTGTTAGAATTCTGTAGTGAAAGGAGAAATCTTCACTCAGTTTTCAGGCACGCAGTAGGAACCAGCAGGACACAAGTAGTCAAGGAAGAGACTCACTACAACCTCCTTACAGCAGGGTGAGCACTGAAGCCCTGCACCTTGAGAAGATTCTCTGAAGTTCTCAGCCCTTCCCACAATGTTGGGGTGCCATTTCTATTGCCCCTTCCTCCAATGAATAGTTGGAAATAAATATATAAAATCAATGCATTGGTACAAAAAATTCCCTTGTATCAGAACCATAGTCAAGAGAATCCACCTGGGCAGTGTGGATAAAGGAGTACAGTTTATCTGCCTCTGTGTGCCAGCTAAAGCACTATTATCACCTTTTCAGTAATGTGGAATGCCCTCTCTCTCCGTGCTCTTTCCTCAGAAAACCAACAGGGAACAATGGTGCAATGTTGCACCACTGCTTCCAGATATGGGGGCAATGAGGACTCCAGAGGATGCCACTTCAGGAGGCATCATTTGCCTGTCATGTCCCATCTGCTACCTTGCATAGGACAGCTGTATCACATGGGAAGCTGAGGACCTGTGTCACACAGCAGTGCTGCTGGGCATTTATTTATTTAGGATATTTGTATGCCTTCCTTTGCAAGAGCCTCAGGATGGCTTACACAAATAAAATACAAATATCTAATATAACGTAAATTACTTAACGATCTACTCTGGCTGCAATTAAAATATGATGATAAAATTCAATATTAAAACTTATTAAAATATTGATTAAATAAAAAGGTCTTAACCTGGCGCCGAAAAACATATAATGACGGTGCCAGGCAGACCTCTCTGGGGAGCGCATTCCATAAACGGGGCGCCACCGCAGAGAAGGTCCTCCTCCGGGTATTCTATCTCCTAATATCTTTCACAGAGGGTTCTCAGAGGAGGGCTTCTGCTGCCGATCTCAGGGGGTGGGAGGACAAATAGGGAAGAAGGCATTCCTTTAGGTATCCTGGTCCCAAGCCATTTAGGGCTTTATAGGTAATAACCAGCACCTTGAATTGAGCCCGGACTTTGTTGGGAAGCCAGTGGGGCTGGTAGAGGACTGGGGTTATATGAGAATAAGGCCCAGTCCCCGACAGCATCCTGGCAGCTCTGTTTTGCACCATCTGAAGTATCTGGACTGTCTTCAAGGGCAGCCCCACATAAAGCTCATTACAGAAATCCAACCGGGAAGTAACCAATGCGTGTGTTACTGTTGCTAGGCAATCTTCCTCCAGGTAGGGATTAGCCGAAGCTGAAGGAAAGCACTCCTTGCCACCATTGTCACTTGAGCTTCCAAGGACAGCTCCAGGTCGAGGAGCACTCCCAAGCTGCGGACCCTGTACTTTAGAGGGAGTGCAACCCTTCCAGGACAAGGCCCAAGTCACCTACCCAGGAGCTCGAATCACCCACCACAAGAACCTCCTTCTTATCTGGATTGGCCCTCATCCAGCCCATTACCTTGGCCAGGCACTGGTTCAGTACAGCCACTGCCTCACCTGGGTTAGTTGAAAACGAGAGGTAGAGCTGGGTGTCGTCAGTGTACTGATGACTCTGCAGCCCAAACCTCCTGATGACCTCTCCCAGCGATTTCATGTAGATATTTAATAGCATTACTGTCACTACACTTGGTCTGAAGTAGAGTCCTTGCACCAGCAACTGGAGGTGATGTATTTCAAGCTGATCTGAGCCAAGAATATTAACCCTGAGCTTTTCTTTGGAACTGTATCTAAGACATGTTTGCTAAATCAGTTTGGCTCTGATTGATACCTCCTGTAGGCCTTGAATTTGGCTTTGCAGAGCAGGTGAAGAACTGGGAAGAAGACTCCAGAGGTAGGCAGGATAAGGGCCAGAAGCTGACCACCAAGAAATAGGAAGGAACAGGAGGGAATGTTACACTTGGGAGGGTTGGGGTGTGAGTGTGTGGAGCAGATGGGGATCTAAGCCAAAGGCAGGCAGCTGAGAGTGGGGAGTAAGCAGCCCTAGGGCCACTGGGCTGCTGGCTTTAGGATTCAGATTCTGAGAAGCTGCCTTTGGGTGTGAGTCACATGAATGGGCATTATGGAAAGTGAAGGGTCATGGGCTATTCTGTTAGCCCCAAGTCATGAGATTGCATGACTTCTTAACCCTACCACATGCTAGAAATAGTTTTCTACAGGAGAAAGACTCTATGGGCACCTGGAAAGCCTATAGATGTATATGTCTACATCAAAAGTCTTTCACTTGCAGACATTTATGATGATCACATAGACATTATGATGGGACCAAGGAGTCCTATGGCCAAAGGGGTGGGGAAAGGGGCAAAGCCCTGCTGCCCCATTTGACACATGGAATTCCTATATGAAGGGGACTGTAGGGATAAATTCTGACAGTTTACTGCAGCTACAGCATTATTTGACCTGACAACTGGGGATGCTGACAGAATCCTCAATATATACAAATGATTTCAGATTTCTCACACATTCCAGGATGGAGAGATGTTGGATGGACTCGGTGGACTTGCAGACTTGGTTTTTAAATTGCTGTAGTCATAGAAAAATACAAAAAAATAACCGCAAACAAAATGCACATTTCTCTCCATAGACTCAAGTGCAAACCTGAATACTTTTCAGGGGGATGTATGCATTTTGGGGAGTGCAAATTTTCAGAAGTGTGAATTTGTGCAAATGTATATGAGTGCATTTGTGTAAAATTCTGTTCTGTCAGTGAAAGGATAACAGAATGAAAAATGGCTGACAGTCCAGGAAACACAGATGGAAAACAAACTCTGTACTGTAACCCAAAGGGAGTAATAAGAAGTAAGGGGTGAATTTGAATTAATCAGTCAGTTCTTTATAAGTTTTTAACCAGTTGTATGGTAACCAAGGATTGATACATCAGATTAGGTGCATGCATGCATGAGTCAAGCCCCCAAACCATATTTGGTTATGAGGTTGAGATGGGCAGGCAACCTGATCCCGTCCAGATGTTTTGAATTGCAGCACCCATCAGCTCCAGCTAGTAGCATGGCCGATGAACAGGGATTATGAGAACTCTAGCCCAAACCATCTTTAGGGCATTGGATTGCTTATCCCTGGTGTGAAAGAAGAACATCATGCTTATTTAAGGTTCTACACATGCCATTCCATATGTATGTTCCATATAAAAGCTACCTGGCTTATGGTGCTTCTTCATAAATGCATTTTCATCCATGTTCACCATTGGTTTTCATGTCTCCTTTCCTATTTAAATCATTTACATTCATGCACAAAGACAGAAGTATATAAAAAGCTTATGGTGACATGTCAGGATGTGCCAAGGTGGCTTTCTTTAGGTAATTCATGCAGTCTGTGACAGACGGATTCCAGGCCTTGGTTCATTCGGTGCTTTTGTTCCAAGGCTTCTCTAATGCTACCATTTTGTCCACCCACAGGGAGCGTTTGTGTGGCACAGTCGGTCAAGATTCCCCGAGAGCCCAAGGCAGGAGAGTTTGATAAGATCATCCGGCGCCTCCTGGAAACCTCCCATGCTCGAGCAGTCATCATCTTTGCCAATGAAGATGATATCAAGTAAGAGGGTAATGGTCTGGGCTGAGGGACTGTGGGGGCAGAGGACAGTGAACAGGAGAGTGAGTGAATCGGTGGAGAGAATAGAAAGGACTGGGGAGGGTAGCTAGTGCACTAGAAAGCTTCAAAAACACATTCCTTGCTGTGTAACAGAACAAGTGTGCTTATATGTGTGAGTGTGTTGGTGAAAGTGTCTTCTTAGTTTAGCATGTCTTTCTGTACCCTCTGAAAGTTTTTGTCAACTCTACCTATGTGGTAGCTCAGTCCCATACTCCTGGATTGGAGATACATCAACAGTAGAAGTCTTTCTCAACTCTGTAGACTTATAAATTTCATAAAACACTTCTGTCTGTGGGTCAAAGTAGAAAACCCTGAGCCTGATGTTGCAATTCTCTCCAGTCTGTATTAATCCCCAGCCCTTTGGTCCTGCAGTCTCCATCACTCCAGAATCCCTGTTCCTGGCCCTAGGATCACACTGTTCGTTTTGCTCATGGCTAGTGCTATAGGCCAGAGATACATGATTGTCTTGTAACTCTATAAATAATTTCCATGTTCTCTAAGGTGTTGTCAGAATGCACAGAGGAGACACTTGAGAGGAAGGATTAATAATGGTTATGAAAAGGCTGGGAGTCAGACTGCCTGGGTTGTGCTTCAATATGAGTTCAGCCAAAGTGTTGATGAACAGCCCATTCATGCCCTCAGAACAGGTCTCAAGTTCAAAGTCATTTTAGCATGTTTTACAGAATCTGAAATGGTACACATCAGTTTGCTGTTCTTTGAAGCTGTAATAACTTGACCTAATGTGTAAAGCTTTAACAAGTCTGGGGTTCTTTTTTTTCCCTTTTGGTGTAACTCAAAAATATAAATTTCAAACGACTGAATACTATTTTTCACAAATATTACAATAAGTTGAACAGATTCTAATGCCTAACCTCATGGGCTTTTCTGCAGCTGCTTGGAAGCATAGTTTGGGTGTTCTGCATTCATCTCGTAAAATCAAAATAAGCTCCATTCCAAGAGAATATATGCACTATAGCACAGCACAAAAAACAACATATACTTTGTTTCTGTTTGGGTTTTTGTTTTGTTTTGAGCTTAGCTATTTACAGTGAGTTACGCCTGATGTTGCAACTGTCTAATTTATTAATCAGCATTATGCAAATATGGGTAAACTGACATTTTCAATCAGTTGATATCCAATTTGCAAACAGTCTAAGATTCTGGAAAGCTAACTAATAGAAATGTTTGAAACACAGACATTTATACTTGTTTATTCACAGCAAAATCAGGGATTTGCCTTGCAGTGTAAATGGCAAGCACCATTAAACTGGGGTTTGTAAACATTTACCTATCTGAAAACAGTTTGTAAGCTGGAGAATTGCACCCTGTTGGCAGTAGCTTACACACATCTGGAAACTTTATCTTTTTCATGCAGTGATGTTTACTGCTGGGACAGATGTCTTTCTCAGGGCTTATCCATGTGATCATTTTTGAGGCATGACATTCCTGGGTATGTCTTTGTGTGTTTGCAGTAGGATGCCCAGACCTGATCATTAGGTCTTTAACAATTCTTCAGCCTGCATATCCTTTTCACATCGATTTTTATGCTTTACTTTCAAGGTTCCCCCCTTTCTCATAGCTTGAATTAATGCAGCTGCAAAGAGATGCTGCAGGTGCCATAAGAAGATGGAATTTCATATTGCCAGTGTCCTTGACATTAAATTAAAGGAAGGGTGTAACAGAGGACATCTTAGAATTGCTGTTGTTGGTCCTTCCTTGCAGAGGTGGGATGGATTCCCCTCTTTTTGCTTCTGCCAAAAGGGCAGTTCAGCTTTTCCTAGTGTGGTGTCCTCAAGATGCTTTGGGGTACAACTTCCAGGTCATGCTGCCTGGGGCTGAAAAGAGCTGAAGTCTCAAATCTCTGGACAGAGCCAGATTGGCAAAGATGTTTAGTGGTAGAGTCTGTTGCACACTCTGTGTGTAACTTCTGGATGGTTCCTGCAGTAGAGAGAGAACTGGAGTCCATCTTGCTGGTTGCTCGGTTCCAAGTTCACACACCTTGGGGTTCACCTAGTGACTGCTGCAAGAGAAAGGGGAAGAGGAAATGGTAGTAGGGCTGTATGTAGCCTGCACACATGCCTGAAGAGTGCTTAGATAGCTGCATTTGCACTGAAAATTTGATATGACTATTACCTGTGGATAAAATGGAGAGAAGGACTATACAAGTCATCTTTGAGTTCCTTGCAGGAAAATGGTATGAATAATAAATATGCACCTACCTTGTGTGTGTATGTGAAATAATCCAGTTAGAGGCTTTCAGGTGAGAGATTCTTTCCATCAGATTTCCCCAGTCTAGCAATCTGGAAGTGAAGGATTTCAATGATGAGGAATCTGGGAAGCTGTAGTCCAAAACATCTCCAGAACATCGGATTTGGGAGGGAGATACTACAGACATCTGTCCACAAGAAATTAATATATCTTACCCAGATCACCATGGAACACATCACAGGTAGCTTGTACACATAGACTTGTTTGATAGAAGAGGTATGTTCTTTTATGATTTAAAAGAACATGGAGAAAGTGTGTCACCAGTTGTAATTCTATTATTTCCTCAGATTCAGTTCTTATATTTATGATGTACAAGGAATAAACTTAGACAAATCACCATTTCTCTCTTCCTCTTAGCCTAGTTTACATAATGAGGTTTCTGTGAAGATAGAATCATGTGGGAGCATGTCCAACATCAACCATGGAGGAAGGACAGGATTAAACAATAATTCCACATTTGTTGGTGGTATAAAGCAGTGAAACCCAATAAGTAGCATTGGGTTGTGCTGATTGCAGCTAAGGATGTACAGACTTCATTAAAGCCATTCTGTCTGTATCACTGGTATTGTTATCAGCTTATTGACAGGATTGGAATTGGGCAAATTTGCACAAATCCAACTTTAAAAATGCTCTGTTTTTATCTACAACTAGATTTGCATTAAAAATGGGGGTGGGGGGAGGGGAGAAAATGAAAACCTAGTCTGCATGTCCATGGAATCCATGTAAGTCAGGAAAAGCAGGTCTACTGAGAAATCTGCAGGTTAGAGTCATCTAGATCTCATGTGGGTTTCTTTGGCATCTCCAGTTTGGGATGGAAGAGGCAAGCATGCCTGGACTTGCTGAACTTGTCTTAATTCCACTTGGAAGATCTCTTCACATTTTGTTCTCAGTTTCCTTTCCAACCTGTTTTTCTTTCGTTCAGACTCAAAAAGTAGCACTAAAAATGGAGGAAAAAATGCACATGTCTGTATGAGTTTCTTAAAAGGGTACCCTTCCTTACATCTAGTTAACTTGGAATGTGATTTTTTTAATACCATTGCAAGTTGAGGAATGTTAGCGCTTTTCGTGCAAAATGGGCTCTCATTCACATTTGGCCCAGGGATGTGTGAATCATTAGAACTTGAGCACACCAGAGTTCTCCTATTTCCATCTAGAAACTTGTTTCAATCCAAGTCTGTATTGGATTGTGTGCTTTGATTTTTTTCTTTTCACATAAGACTCCATGGGAATTTTCATGTGTATTTTTCCAAAAGTACACCTCAATTGTACACATCTTTGAAATGTACACATCTAGCACTGGTCAGAGTGCATTTTTGTGCAATTTTCAAAAGTATGCACTTTTCAAGTGTATGCATGCTGTCAAATGCATTTCTTCTTTTTGTCTGCAAATCATAGTTTGTATATGGATCTGTGATTGATTCAGAAGATTTGAAGTGAACCAGTCTTGATCAGAAAGGAACTGAAACTTCTTTTACACCTTTCATTTGGGGTTGCAAACAGGGAATGTTCTGATTTTCAAATGGGAATGATTTGCTCATGTATTCTTATATCTCATGCACTGTCTTCCACAAAGTTCTCCTGTCTTACACCATCTGGAAATCTTTCTACGGAGAGGAAAGAAGACTAATGGCAGCCTTTCCCAACCCAATTTTCTCCAGATGTTTTGGACTACAAAATATTAATAACCAGTGGCCATGCCGGTTAGTGCTGATGGCAACATTTTGAGTGCACCAGCTTAAGGAAGGTTGGTTAGGGGGATAACTGTTAGAATATGTCCGGTTTGTCAACATCATGTAGCTAAGCAACTCAGTGGATATTTTGCATTGGTAAAATGCAACATTGGCACTGTCTGTCTTGCCAGGGGAAAGGGCTTTTTAAGATTGAGAGGCAATGATCATAGCAGTAAAGAAAGAAGTAAATTTTATTAACTTCCTCCCAACAGCTAACAAAAAAGAAATCAATAAGAAGCACAGACAAGACAAAATCTGCTTATATCTGTTCAGTTGCTGAGGACACCTAGACAGTAACTGATAAACCCCAATCTGGCCTAGCTGGGCAGAAATATCCACAGTCTCAGACTGCATCGAAGCCCAAATAACTGGGAAATTTCCAGGGATTTCTTCGCTTAGATCTGCACATCATAGCCCATCTGTGTGGCCTGTGTACATGATCACTCACAGTTAGCTTTGCAAGAGAACAGACACCCATAGTCAAGTGTTGAGCAATGGCCTACAGGCAGGTGGCTAATACATGTCCTCCCCATCTTTAATGGTACTAAGGGTATAACTGGGAGGTACAAACCACATACACTCCCCAAGAACACGGCCATAGAAGCTGTGACAAGCAAAGCATCTTTAAAGCATCTGTAAGTCTGCCAGGGAAAGTCTGGTTCAGTACTGGGTTTCACAGTGGAATGAATAGTGTGATACCAGACCTGTCTCCTTGAAAAATAGCGGTCTTTTGCCATTGCTATTGCCCTGTCTAATTCTGGAAGGGCCATGGGGCTAAGATTAAGGATGCCTGAGGAATTTGATCCTTGTGAACTCTGATAGGAACTGACCTGATCTGCACCTTCTAAGCTAATGCGTGGATTTCAGCTTAGCAATCCATCAGATTTCGCACTTTTCTAAATGTTGTGATGTGATGCACAGCTTGTCAAGTGTATCAAAATGCATTTTTAAAAGTGAATTTTGAAATAAAGTGCATTTAGACATCTACATCTTGAGAGAAAATGCATATTAAATATGTATTAGAAAGCAAATTATAATGCAGTTTTTTAAAAATTCCCAATCAGTGAAGAAACAGTTCAGAATAGACTTCTAGGTGAACACATTATATGGACATGGACCAGAAGTTAGGGACAAATGAATCACTATCAATTTCTCTTACATTCAATTAAAAATCCGCTTTCTGCTGTACAGAGCACAGTTGTCATTTCCCAAACAATGACAACCGTGGCTTTACAAAAAGCTTTTATTGTGTGTTTGTGAACCCTCGCTTGCGGAAGTTTGTGGGTCTTTTTATGCTATTGTCATCCTCTGGGACATATCTTGTGTTTTCCAGCCATTTTCACAGCTCTCTTTAGAGTGAGAAAAGTCAGCTGTTAAAGTTCAGTTGTAGAACAACTAGAATATTGGTCCCCCATATCATTGTATATGATACCATATATACCACATTGCCACCTTTTGGTTGTATAATGGAATATATAGAAAGGCAGAGAAAGCCAAATCTCAGGGAAAAAAGTTTGGGTAGAGGACCAACTTTTCCTCCTGGAAGGAAAATGGAAGAAGTCTCTGTTAAATGTCTCATGTAGAGAAGCTCTGTATCACTATTCATCTCCTTGCAGAAAATTGCAATGGGTGGATCAGCTATAAGTGTTTTCTTTGTCCTAAATTTTATTCCTTCATGTTTTGCTTCCAATGGCTACAATTTCACCACAAATTTCATGGTACATTGATCTTTTCCCTTGAGCGCCTGCTGACAGCTGGAAAAATATATTTATTTTTCTAATAAAAAATGCATGGGCAGAATGCCCCAGAGTATTTTGACCCTGGAAGACCTAGAAACAAAAAGACTAATTTCTGACCAAGCCCCTGACACACACTGCCTGGGTAAGTATAGTGCCATGAAACCAATGCAAAGAACTCTACTGAATAAGAAAAACAACTGTATAGGATTTACCTAGTGAAGCTTAAATTACTCGTGTTCTTTCAAATGATTCCCTTCTAATTCCTGCAATAATTCCTCAACCTGATAGATAGAAGCTTGGCCTTCCACCTGTCCATTTTGGTTTCCAATTATTACACTGACCTATTACATGACCTTGAACAATTCCTGCCCACTTCTTTGCCTCTGCTCTTTCTTTCTCACCCACATGCTGTAGCTTCATCAGCCTAAGAAAAAGCTGTTACTAAGCACTGCAGCACAATACAATCTTTTCTGAGGTCCTGCTGTAATAACACTAAGAAAAACATGATGTTGAGGGTAGGTGGGAGCTAGGCTGACTGCACAGGAACTGCCATGTTCTCATTTTCAGAATCAAGATCACTACCATGTTCATCCTTTCCCCCTTGTCTATTCAACCAACCTTCCTTCCCTCCTTCCTTGGCTTTCCAAAAATACATGCCTTTTCCATGAGGCCCTGCACTAGCTTGTCATTCAGTCTTGCTGTCACTTCTCCCTTAATCACTTTTTAATCAACTTTGGTATTGACACAATCTCCATTGATCCTTTTCCTTTGCTTTCTTGTTAAGGACTTAAAACCATACAGACACACATGCATTCCAGCTCAGTCACTGTATGCTCTTCATTGATTTCTACTCTTCCATTAATAGTCCCGCATTGCTTCATTAATAGTCCTGCACTCCTGGTGGCAACACTTTCCCCAAAGGACAAGGATCTCTAGAGGTTTTTTAAGGGCAGGTGGTGGTGGTGGAGTTCAAGAAAGTGATGAACATTTCAGACACTTTTAAACATCTGCATCTTGAACCACCAAATAATAAATGCATGCATTAGATGTGGGTAAGGACGTGATGAGTTAGTTAAATTTATTCTGGCTGTGTTTTGCAGATTGTTGGGCAATTTTTGTTCTGTTCTCTGCTCATTGACAGAATTCTGTTTTGTTTTTTAATGGAAATTTTGTTAATTTACAAATGTGCATTTGTGCCAGTGTGCATTTGCACAAATCTTCTCCACAAGGAATAAAAGGGGCTATAGTTCACCTAGTCCACATGACTTGGAAAAAGCTGGTCTGCTGCAATATCTGCAAGCCCAATTCATGAACTCATTTGACTCCATTGCAAATTTGTCCAACATCTCTAGGTATGGTCCACCTTTTTTTCTGTAGAGGAATATTTAATCTCATAGATGGTCTGTCACGGGAGGGGATGACACCAGCATTGGGTAGGTACAGATCCAAAAGGGGATGTGTCATCCCTACACTCTTCCTGCCACTCCTTTTATCTTTCCTGATTCTGCTACCATTTTCCATCCTACTCACTCTTTCTGTCCCACGCAGCTGGCTGCCAGAAAAAGGGACGGATCACTCTTGCTAGAGGTCTCAAAGGATCACATGCAGGTCTCTTAAAATTAGGTTGGGATTCACTGCATATTTGCAGGCTATGCAGGTGGGGTCCGTGCAGGTGTAGGTTGTGAGACATGCCCTACGTCGATGCATGGTGAGCGTGCTAGGCTCCTGGGATGGTTTTGACACTCACTTAGTCATCCCTAGTCATCACTACTTAGAGCGCTTGGTTTTGGTTTTCATGTGTATGAAAGTCTAGAGAGAAGTGAATGTATCGAATGAACAAATGTGCTGAGTTGTGAATATTGGAAGCGAGTTGGGTTGTTTTCTAGTTGTGATTGGACATGGCAAGTGATTCCTGCTTGCAGTGGATATAGTATACACAGTCCAAGCACTGTCTTTCTTGCCTTCCATTGTGCTGCCTGCCCATAAATGCCATGCTGATACTGGTGCTTTGGTGTTTTTTTCTGCAGAAATGTGCTGATGGCAGCAAAGAGGGCCAACCAGACTGGGCACTTCATCTGGATGGGTTCTGACAGCTGGGGTTCCAAAATTGCCCCAGTGAGAGATCTTGAAGAGGTGGCTGAGGGATCGGTTACCATCTTGCCTAAGAGGGCATCTGTTAGAGGTATGTTGAAATCTGGTTTGGGTGGCTTTGAAGAGTGCTATGAAGAACGGACATTTGCTATCATTGTACAGCCATTGTTTCTGGCTTCTTTGGAGCCCTTCCCCATACTAGTGTGATTGATGCAGTTACCAGCCAGTGACACTGTACAGCTGGACTCACCCCAGCACCTCATCCCTGGCCCTGTCTCCTAGATCCATGCATTGATGGGAGCATAAATTGATAAGCAGCTGATTGCACATAAGTTTCAATACAATTGGAGTTTTGGCTTGGACAAGCCCCTCAGCTGCATGGAAGTCACCTCAAGTATTCTAAACCAGGAGAGGGAAGTCTTCAGAGTAACAGGACCAGCTTTTTAGCTACTATCCCAGGGACCATTCTCCAAGCTTGGAGCAAAAGAATGGCTCAAAGAGTAGGGTACTGTGCACCTAGAATTTCAGCTCATTCTTAATCTAAGTTATGGCCCCTAGAGGGAAAGATGGGGTGGAACTAATTTCTGGGACACCAGACCATACAAAGCTTCCTTATGTTAATATGTGTGCATGCACACACACCCCATTTAGAAAATTCTTCCTTAATAGCCCAGTAATTATTATGATCATTCTACTGAGAGTGATGGATCCGAGCTGAAATGGATGAAAGGCCTGCAAATGAAGGCAGAATTGGGTTTGTTGCTGTGAATTCTAGGTGATGGTGTCAGAGATTTTCAGTAAAATGTATAATTTCTTTATTGTGGGTGGTAAGCTCTTGTACATTAGCTGAAGACGTCTTTAGAGAGGCTGCTAAATGCACAATTAACCATTTCTCAGCCCCAGGGTAGGAAGTCTGAAGTATCCCTTCTGGTTATGCTAAATTAGTGATGTTCAACTGCACTTACTAGGCGGCTTGGTATGATGGCTGCGAATATGTCCTCCCAGTCCTTTCCTTCTCAGTTGTATGTCCCAGCAGTAGCCCTGGAGTCCTTTTGGGTTATGACTTCTGCTACAGGCCCCTGGCAACATGGTGGAGGGTTCTGGTGCACGGTCTGAGGACATCTTCTGAAACCAAGCAGTTTGGGGTCTGGTCAATGCCCAGATGGGTGATATCTGGGAATCTGGCACACTGTCTTGAGTTCTGTGATGGAGGACAGACGAGATGTACTGGGTAATAAAGATATAAACAAAGCACTGATTGTCCAGATATCTCTCCTGCAGTCCCCCTTACATTTCCTTTTGTGTTTGAATTAGCTGTCTATTGAAGTTTTTATAACTTCATTCTGGCTACTTCCTTAATGTCCAGTGCTCGTCTCCATACATTCTTCATTTTTTTTTATATATGCATTTTATCCTTTCACATTTGTAGGCCACTCTTAAGGCTAGATTGGTAGAAGGGTAAAGTTTCCATCCCAGCACTTAGATAAATAGGTCACAGTTTCAGAAGAGCTTTGCAGTGCTCTGTGGCAAATATACCTCCACTATTGCTTAGCATGTCCCTCCGCTTCTTTGTTTGGCTCTTATTACAAGTACTTTTCCATGTCTTAAAAAAGCTTTATTTCCTAGGAAAACCTTTCCCTTCTTCTTTTACTGTATTCTTAACTGAATCTAGCTATAGAATTTGTGCAGTAGAAACAATTTGCTATATATTATATGGTATGCATGTATTTTACTGAAAGCTATGTTTTCTTTGATGCCTTTATAATGCCTGGGGCATTTATTTAAAGCTTCCTCAAAGGTCAAATACTTCTTCTGATGAGTGTTCAAATATCACCTGGATATCATCATTGATTCTCAGACTGTTAGTGGGCACAGTCCACCAAGAAATTATTCTGTGCACACCTTATTGAAACAATGGAAGCCTAGTTAGAAGTTCTCGGTGGACTACTTCCCTTGCAAAAATGCATCATGTAGGCATGCCTGAAGATTTACAGCTAAGCAGATCCCTATATGGAATGAGCTGAACTGTTCTTCTTGAACTAATATGCAGATTTGAATTTATCAATCCACAGGATGCTGTACTCTACAGCTTATATGTACCAAAATACAAATTGAAATGTGTACCTTCAGATCTGTTTAAAAGGCCAATTAATGTAGAAAGAGAATATAACTATGGGTTAAAACATGCACAAATTACATGGGCCAGAAATAAACACATCTGCGCATCTCTCATTTCTCACACGTTCTCCCACCCCAGTTTTGACTGTCTGTGCATTGTCAATATTTTAGACCATCCTATTATTCCTTCTGGAGTTCTTCAACAATCTCTCACACCTTCCCTAATCTAACTGTTTGGCAAGCATGTAAATACTTTGGCTCTGTGAGTGATGGATGTAATGGGAATATATTGCACAGTGACCTAAGAGCATGCTGAAATTCTCTTGCTGAATCGTAATGGCAGGGATGGAGACTATGCAGACTTTTACAGATTGTTGGACTGCAGTTTTCATTGTCTGTCTTCTCTGTGAGTGCAGTCTAGGACTGATGGCAATTGTAGTCCAGTGACTCGGGAAGGCCATGTGTTTCTGGCTTCTCCCATAAAGCTATGTCTTCCCAGGTAGCTCCTGCTTTGCTTCCCATTTCAACCAGCTGCTTTCATAGCCTGTTCATCAAGAAGAAAAAACGCCCTATGCTCGGAAGAAAACTGGTTTCTCTGTGCACTGTCATTCATATAAGCACCGAGTGTCTGTCTGCCTTTCATCCAAAAACGTTGAGACAATTGAATTGATCTGTGCAGCAGTAAGGTGTCTTTTGAAAGGCCATGAACTTCAAACAATCCCAGACACATAAGAGGGCTTCAGTTTTACATAAGCCACTCACAGAATGCAGAATGAAGATTTGGGGGATTCAGGAGCCCCAACAAGCTGCGTCGGGCGAGGCCCAGCAGGTCTTGTTATGACATCAGGGAAATAAGCCAATGGTGGCCAGAAGGGCTGCAACCATGTAATACAAAAGCTGAGTAGCCTGCAGGGAGGAGCAAAGGGTCAGGACCAGAGAATGCAAGAAGCCCTTAGAGGTTTGCTGACACTCACAAGCAATCATGCTGATGAGTCTTTAGCTCATCATTAGTATGGTTTTTATCTACTTGACCAAAAGTACATCTGTGTTCCTGCATTGTTGGCGTAGCTCACAGCATAGCTCTAGCTTTATTTGTAGAGGTGTCATTCATTAGAAGAGAAAGAGCTGTCAAGTGCCCCAAGCCCATTAAAGGATCCATTCCATTAATAAGGTTACGTGAGACAGAACCCTAGAGGGAGAGATGGAGAGTCACCATCCTTCCTGTCTGTACCTTACCCCCCTCTGACATCCACTTATCCTAAGGAAATTAGGTTTGTGTTCTGTGGGTTGGAAATGTGCACAGTTAATTAAGCCTTTGGTATTGTGGGAACTAACAAGAGATTGGCTTAAAGCATCTTAGCTTTATGAAGTCACAGAGCCTGCCATGTGCCTTGGCTTTCCTTTCAAAAGTGATGTTTCCCACACTTCCTTTTGCTTCGCTGTCAACTTATTTTAGACTGTGGGGCACAGGTGGGTCTAGACTTGGGAGGCACAAAAAGCATGATTTGATCTTTGGCTAGGGGCCTCTGAGGAAGACATGGCTTAGTGTTGAAAAAGGAAAAAAATCCAGCAACAGTGGTGGGTAACTAAGAGTTCAATCCTAGGGTATTCTAGCATTGCTTGGGAGATCACAGGATTTTCTGCAAACTGAGCACCAAAGTCCCCTGACCTTGCTACTCAAAGTCTGGAGGCGATTCCCTTGCCTAACCTTCACACAACTGGAGCGGAAAGAAACATGCTGGCTGCCCATCTCCAAGGTTGCAACAGAGCCTTGCGGTGGGAGGAGGGGTGTGCGGGGGTGAGGAGGAGGAGGCTGGGCCCACGGTGTTGCACTGATTCCAATCAATGCCCCAGTCTCCTTCCCGCCTCCTCACTGGCCCCAAATCCAGACACCCAACAATGGACTTCTCAATAAAATGCAGAGGTCAAGGCCTGGTGGTAACAGATGGCTCTTTGCACTGGATGCTCATAAGCTCCAAGCTCAGGGGCATGTGGGCATCTGCCAAAAGAGCAACAGGCCTGTGCCCTAAGCCTGAACACATGCCTTTTGCATTTATATCACTTTCAGATTAGGGTTAACCTAATGCTTACTTTTTATATTCTCACCTGCCCGAGTTTCAGCTTCCCCCACACCCCAAATTTCCTTACAGAGTAAGAAATGTTGCATTTTACTGCATTTCATTTCATTAATTTCCCCCCACCTTTTCTCCAAGGCTGTCATGGCAGTGCACATAATCCCATTTACCATTTTGTCCAGTTACCTTGTGGGATAGGTTTAGATAAGAGTTGGTGACTGGCTCAGGGTCATTTAAGAAGCTTCTGGGTTGCATTCGGGTTTGGATCCAGGTCCCCCAGGGCTAGTCCAGCACGCTAAACTTGTGAACCAAATTTGTGCACTCATTTTGCCCTGGGGGCTCAGAAAGTTTTGACCTTGGCCTTGAAGAAACTAGACTTGCAGTGTGGGCTTTCTCCTGGTACTCAGTACCTCCTTGCCCACCTCCTTCTACTTGGTCTACCCTTGGGTATCCCACAGTGCATCACAGGAGCACTGAGATTTGCTCCCTTCCCTGCCATCTCAGGGAGCTCAAAGCAACTCACAGTGGCAGCAAAGAGTAGGGGAACTGGACAGCAGGGATGGTTGGCACTCACTTGTGAGGCCAACTCAGGTTGTGCCCTGAGTTGCCCCTGAGTTGGACAGCAGGAGAACAGTGTTTGCCATCCCACATTGCTGTGGAAGGCTGAAAGGGCTCATGGTAGTGTGGCAGCAGGGGGCAGGGGACTCATGATAGCATCAGTTAGCTGTCAAGCCAGCTGTAGTCATCTCTACCCCTCATCATGACCTGGAAAGAGCTCATGGTGGTTGTATGGGCTTGGAGAGCCACAATTACTACTGCCAGCTTGCAGTGTGCAGTGGTAGAAAGCTTCTGACGTTACCTCCAAGTGCTGCTTGGTCACTTTGGGGCACTCACTCAGCAGTGAATGCTAATACATTCTTGCTATTCCTGCCAAGCAGTGTGGTTATGGTAGGGCTTGACCCACAATGGGTTATTTTGTCTGGCTTTGAATGACAGGACAGACTGACAAGGGTCAAACAAATCTACTGCACATCATGGCTTCTCAGGGTGTCTTACAAACCAAAAAAAGTCACCCTGTCAAGTTTATGCCAGGTTCTCATGACACAACAAGGCAGCATGGTTTATAAGCCATCTTAGGTTGTCATGTCATGCAAATCCAGTCAGTATAGCATAGTTTTCTCTTCTCAGAAATGCTACAAGGGAGATGCACTAGAGAGAGGCTAGAATGAACGTGCAAAGTGTTCCTCATCAAGCTTCCTCACCAACTGATGGGTTGGGCCCTGGTTTGGATGTGGTCATATGATGGCATGAAAAGTGAAAGCTTTAAGAGCCCTCTTTTGATTTTGTTCTAGGGCCCTCATCAGCTGTAGTGCTGGTCTACAGAGAGACTGATGTCTTTGAAGAATATAGGTCCTTCCTCTGCAGTCTTTGCTCTCTTGCCTTCTAGTTTTCCTTCAGAATTACAGGAATATATCTGTGAAAAGTAGGAACAGAAAGGGCTAATAACTTTTGTAGGATCTTGAAACATTAAACCCTGACATGCTTCCTATACATTTTTTCCATTCATATTTAGAATCTCTCCCATTGATTGTTACCACGTTTCCCTCTGTCATGCTGATTCGTGTTGATCCTGGAAGGTTTGGCCTTCCTTATTGATGGCCAAACATTTTTTTTCTTCTTGAGACATCTATATGTCCTCTGCCATCATACATTTCAGTTGTTCCAGTTATCATTAGAATCTGGATGAAGTAAACTGATTATTATTTTTATTATTATTATTATTATTATTATTATTATTATTATTATTATTATTATTACATTTCTATGCCGCCCCTTGCCGAAACCTCGGGGCGGCTTACAACATGATAAAATACATTGAAATACAATAGTACATAATAAATTACCATTAAATATAAAAATACAAAAGATACATTGATTTACAAATACAAAATTAAAATTATCAGTATAAAATAAAAATATAGGAGGAGAAAGAGAAGGAAGAAGAAGTTGCCCAGGCCAGATCATATGTTTTAACAATTGAAATGATGTTTAAATAAAAAGGTCTTTACCTGGCGCCGAAAAACCAGTAACGACGGTGCCAGGCGGACCTCTTTGGGGAGTGAATTCCATAGGTTGGGCGCCACCGCAGAGAAAGCCCTCCTCCGGGTACTTACTCTCCTAATTTCTTTCATGGAGGGTTCCCGGAGAAGGGACCCTCCTGCAGATCTCAAAGGGCGGTCGGGCATATATGATCAGGTGGGAGCTCTGTGATACAGGAGATCTTGATTCAGTGCAGGACATTGAATTAGACTTTCACAGTTTGGTATTATCATGACTCTGCATCTAGAACAAAGGATGCTACAGAATGTCCTGATCAGACACCGTACAGCTGGCAGGATTTTGTGTCATTTATGTGGGATATGATACTGTATTTCCCTGCCCACCCACGCACCCACACATGCAATGGTCTGAACAGCCCATTCCTAAGTCGAAGTGGGTTTGGCTCTGCACAAAGCCTGAATAGCAGTTCACCTTGGATGAGAATGTGAACCATTTCACTCGTGTTTCAAACAAAGCAGCATTTCACAGGATACAACAGTCCTATTACTAAGTGAGAATTAAGAGACTGACTGTATATAGCAAATCAATCAACTCAAAAATGGCCATGTGAATCAGCCCACATATACCTAGCTGTAATTTTGCTCCTGTTAAAGTTCTTGTCAAGAAAGTTAGATCGTCTAACCATTTCCATTTCCTACAGCATATACCAAATACCATGTGGGGGAAGGTGGAGGGTATTCTTGGTTGCTTTTTGTAGGCCTAGTAGTATGGGCTTGTCTTAGTTGCTTCAGTTGTTAAAATCTGTTTTTAAATCTTAGTGAAATGTTACAATGTTTTTGCTGTTATTTATATTTTAAATTGCATTTCATTGTATTTGATTGCCTTTTTTACACTGCCCAGAGAAGTTTGGCTATTGGTGGTATAGGAACTAACTATATAAATAAATTTATAACTGAAATGTATCATTAAATGAATTGAGACTCTGGCTCAGAATTCTTTCTTTTCTATTATTTTATTATCATGAATAATAATAAGAAGAATAGCAACACTAATTGTTGTTGTTTTATTAGCAATATTAAAATTCAGCTATGTATGGATGGGCACTCAAATCTACAGTGCATATTGTCTAAATACATGTTCAGGCTATATATTTGTGTGCAGCTGAAAGATTCAAAGACAATGAGTTTTGAACTACTAGTTCTGTTTCCATACAAAACTCTGCCCTGTTAACACACAATTCACTAGTCCCCTCCATCAAGAATGTTTCTGGTGCAGCAGGTCCCATCTATTTTGACTTCAAGATGTCATATTTCCATTATCTGTTTCTTCCATCAGGTTTTGACCGCTATTTCTCCAGTAGGACACTGGACAATAACCGTCGAAACATTTGGTTTGCTGAATTTTGGGAGGATAACTTCCACTGCAAGCTGAGCCGCCATGCTCTCAAGAAAGGAAGCACCATCAAGAAGTGTACAAGTAAGATGCTGTTAGTGGGTGGGAGGGATATGGAAGGGGCAGAGCATGGGAGCGGTGGTGCTATCTGGCCGATATGTTGTCAGATTAAATTCCAAGGTAACATAGCAGAAGTCCATTACCCAACTGAGCTTTAGACTGTGAGCATCTTCCATGTTGGGGCTTACAGGTAATTCTCATTTCTTTAGAATGTTCTCTAGAATGAGACAGATGTTCCCATTAAAGATACTAGTTGCTTTCATGGACCATATATGAAATTTGGGTTCTTTGTGAGATTCCCTGGAGCTGTTTGATGAGTAGAAAGAATGCTCAACAATATCCTTCTTATAGCATCAACTTAATAACACAGCCAACGTTCTCTGTATTAGCAGAGGAAGGGCCTTGGTGGTTAAGTTCAGGAAATTAGGTAATAGTCTGAAGCAAAGTCAACTGGGATAAAGATGATAAAGTTGGGACTGGGATAAAAAAGCATTGAGCTGGTGTATCAGAGTGACTAAGTAACAGAGCTATGAATGAAGATGTCCATCCATGGTTTGATCTTCACTTTGCCGTGAGTTCACTAGGTGAGTTCATTTCTGTCAAGCTTGGCATCCACCCCCCTCCTTCCCCCTGAGCATGTTCGGAGATGATGATATTACTGACCTGCCTTACAGTTATGCAATAAAGCCTACAACACTGCAATACGTTAGAACACTTGAAAGCACTATATCCACTGTTGCTGTTCCTTGAGACTGAGGGAAAGCAGCAGCCCAGGAGTAGCAGAGTATATTCAAGAGCAAAAATTTATCAGGCAGCTGATTCACATGGTTCTTACAACTTGGAAAGATTGCTATCTTCTAGAACTGGGGTCAGATCAATCCATCTCCTGACAAATCTTAGTTCATACTGTGTCTTATCTAAGACAAATATATTTTGCAGCAGTGGGAGGTAATGAACAGAATGGAAGAACAGGTTTATCCAGCAACAAGACTAAGGTGGCCCTGTATATCTTCCCTAGCACATTAGAAGTTCTGTTGACCCAACCCCCTTCCAGACTGTAGAACATGAGCATTGCTTTATATTGATCTAACTTAGCCATTAAGCAGGGTGAAAAAATTGCCTCAATTTTGGTAGGTGGAAGTAAGAGGTTGGAAGAGAAGAACTGTGCACCATGTGGCTTTCTCTGCACCCTCCTAGGCTATCCTGCCATCTCCAGATCCAGTAAAGGATGTTGTTGCATTATCAGTGTTGAAGAAAGATTCATCTGCCAGTTTGAGAGGGGGATAAAGTATATGCTGGAGGTTCTAAGACATTGCCACCTCCAGATTTTGGAGAGACTGTGAGCCAATGGTGCCTCTAAGTCATTTAAGACCCTGGACTTCATTATTTTTGAGGAGTCCTTTAGAAGGTTGTGTATATTACTTCAGTTGTGAAGCCCACCACTAGCATTTCTTCTTTCTCCTTCCTGCCACTTCATACTTCACAACTAGTTTACTAATTTGTGGGTAACTTGCTGAGTTACTATTTTAAAATGCGTATTTTTTGCTGATGTAGGGGATGGGTGGGGATGAGAATGAAAGAAATCAAAATGAGGAAGAACTTTGAGAACTTCAATTAGCTCAAACATTTTCGTCCTCCTAAGCCCTACATTGCTCACGTGTTACAGCAAACAGAATAGTGACTACAGGAATAAAATTGAGTTTATGTCTGCTGTTCTAATCCTAAATACCTTTTCCTAGGGAAAAGAGTAACATTTTGTTGTGGAAAAGATAATATACTTTTGGAGTAAAAATGATAGAATGAAGTTCTGTAATCATATATATCCCTAACTCAAGTTAAGAAGAAAGTAGGAGCATTAGCTGTACAGGTGCAGATGGTGACACAGCCCCTGTTGGCCACTAACCCCATTAGCTGGGGGCTATCATGGCCTGCTGGGTGATAGGGACCTGGACCTTGAGTCTAAGGTCCAGCCCTAGCTGTCGTAAGCTTGGCCCTCTCTTTAAGCTTCAAAACCAGACAGGCTCTTTGCAAAGCAGATCTTCATTGACTTTTCACAGCTACCAGAGAAAGTAATCTAAAAGCTCTCTAGTAAGCTGGAAGATACCCCTACTGATTGTTGAACTCAAACTAGTGTCTTCTCTCCAAAACCCTTCCCTTTCAGTAACTCTCAGGCTTGCCCGCAGGGTGGTCACCACTGTGGAAGGGTCAAGTGGCGAGATCAGCACAAGCCCTCTAACTGGGCAGCTCCTCTCTCCCACTGGCTTGTCATGGGGTCAGGATGCAGGCTAGGCAGCCCCTCTTCTTCTCCCTCTTCTTCGACCCCTCCTGGCCCTTTCCCAGTCTCCTGATCTGCCTGGGAGCCTGTGGGCAGAGTCCCTGAGAGTGCTTTAAAGGCCTGTGCTTCTGCCAGATCTCCCAAAACTGCCATCTCTGCTATTCAAGCCATGCTGACCTTGGCAAACATGCCAAGAGCAGTGGTCGGCTACAGTCCTTCAACTAGCTACACTACATTGTCTTGGGCGAGACACCCTCAGTGAGACTCCCTCTTCAAGGTGGATCCACCATTGCCTGGACACCTTTGCCACCAGCTGCTCTGCTCCTCCTCACTGCTGCAGTTTGCTGGGGAGACAGAGTCTTTTTTGCCACCCTCATTCACTGACTTGGCCAGAGGAAAAGGGCAGGAGTGCAGGACAGTGGGAAGAGTACCTAAGAACAATCACAGCACTCACTGGGAGAAGCAGATGGTCCTAGCAGTGGGGTCCTTGATGAGCTATGGGTCTCAGCGGGTGCCCTTCCACACCAGTCTCTGATAACAGCCCTGCCTGGAGAAGATACTGCAGAAATAAACAGACAAGACAATGAAATACCTCATCCTCTTTGTGACTGTTAAATAGCACTTATTTAACTCACTTAACTACTACTGGGAACATTCTCCAGGCCCCCCGGGGCCCTTTTCCTACTCTCTCCCCACTTCTGCCATTTCTGCACATGTACCTCCCTCCTCTGCATTAGTTCCCCCCTGAACTGTTTAGCACTGTTCCCTTCTCCATGCAATGCTAATTTCTCCCTCAGTTTTTCAGAAATTTTCATTTCACATTCACAGCATAAGTCACATCTTCCCTCTGTAGTATCCCTCGCCTCTCCCTTGCTCCCCTGAGAAAATACAATTGAAATGATTTATTTAAAGCTGCATTCGAACAGGTTCTAAAGTGGCATAGTGGAGAGGAATGCAATGCAATGGAAATGTACCCCGGCCCCCACTCAATGATTGTATAAAATATTCAAGACATTCATATAACTCGGGGCAGCTTTAAAAAATGTTTTGTTTGGTTTCCTCTAACAGCAACTTTCAGATCAGCCCAATATCTCTCTTCATTGCTTTGTTGCTGCTTTTGATTCTTCCCTGAAAAAGGAACTGACAGTAGGAAAGCATTCAAGTTCCTTCTTCTTGGGACCTACTCAGCATTTAGTGTGTTGCCTCCAGCTGGGAATGTTGGCGTGTCTATTATGTTGAATCGACATAAAAGCTACCATAGGAAGAGAAACCATGTTGCTTTTGCACACAGTGGTACTTGACTGTAACTGTGAATACAAGTATAAGTGCAGCCACTAGAACGTGTCCCTCAGCCACTGGTGGGAGCTCAGGTACTTGACACACACGTCTCACTGTGATTACGGACAGGAGAATCTGCAAGGCTCAGATCTGACCTCAGAATTCTCCAAGCTTCACCTTCAAGTTCTCCAGGGGGTTGTCGTCATTACATTATATTCATATCCTGGCTTTTTTCCTCTTGTGAGGAACCCAAGGTGTCTCACATAGCTCTCCTCCACTCCATTTTATTCTCACAACAACCACCCTGTGAGATAAGTTAGCCTGAGAATGAGCGACTGGCCCAAAGTCACCTAGTGAGCTTCATGACTAAGCAGGGATTAGAGCCCAGGACTTCCAGGTCCTGGTCCAACATCACCACACCACACTGGTCTCGTAGCTCTATTTCATTGCTTGGTTTGTCTCATTTCTATTCCCAGCTGCAAGCTTTTGTTGACTGAATGAGAAAATACACATTTTAGAATATACACATTTTAGAATATACATTTTAAAAGAGCACACCCAAATCTGTATTTCCCCCCACTGACTAATGTGTAAACTGTTTATTTTTTCCAAAGTTATTTTTCCAACATTTTATAACCATATGTTAAACAAACAAACCTAGCATTAGTTGCATCTGAGGTAATTTTGTTACCCCAGAGAAGGGTGCCTCAGGCATAGCATATGCCACATATGAAGGGCTTTTGTGTGGCCAGATTTTCCCCCAGGTGGCTTCCGTCAGCAAAAGAATGGATTTCATCTGTTAGCAAGTACAGGTAATTTAAGGTTTAATAACATAACTATTCTCAGTATGACAGTAGTGTAACCTACTGTCTTTAAATCAGCATAAAATTTTTTTCTTCAATTGTGCTTCTATTTGCTGGAGATTTCAGCTAAAAATATTAGCTTTCAAAAGAGACCAAGATGACCTGTACTAAAATGTTAATTGTTTTGTTTCAAGCCTATTATTTGGGGTATAAAAGTATCTCCATTCTATAAACTGTTCTTATAGAGATTTGAGGGTCTTGTATGCATGCTTTAGTAAATAGGTGGAAAAAACATACACAAAAAAGTCAGGAGGCTGAATTTTGGGGAGCTTTTAGATAATGTCGTTGAAGAACAGCTCTGTATGATTACTTATATGTACCTTTACAGAAAAGAATGTAAGCTAGGGGGATTCTGGTTATCCCAGGAAGCAGAATGAAATTGAAGTGTTCATATGGATTTTTTTTTTTCAAATGCCATCACAAACTCAGGATTATGAGATTTTTCTGAAAAATGAGTTTGCTTAGGAGTTGTGAACATGGACAAATTCTTATAAAAAGGTGAATCGAAATAAAATTAAAATTATCATACATCCCTGATCATAAAGATACTTTTCATATTTCTAGATACATGGTCAAACTCCCATTGAACAAACATAGTCTCAAGAAAA